AATAAAATAACTGAGGACATTTACCCAGTGGTAGCCAACCCCTATACACTGTTAACCACATTGACAGAGGATTTAGGATGGTTCACTGTACTCGATCTTAAAGATGCCTTTTTCTGCATTCCTGTACACAAAGACAGCCAGGAGATTTTCGCCTTTGAGTGGGAAAATCCTGAGACAGGGAGAAAAACGCAACTAACCTGGAGAGTTCTTCCACAAGGCTTTAAGAACAGTCCAACACTTTTCGGAAATCAGTTGGCAAAGGAACTGGAGGACTGGAGAAGACAGCAGCAAGAAGGAGTTGTCCTGCAGTATGTTGACGACATCTTAATTGCAGCCAAAAGCCGGGACCAATGCATCGAGCTTACTGTAAGTCTCTTGAACTTTTTGGGGCTAAGTGGGTATCGGGTCTCGAGAGAGAAGGCACAGATAGCCAAGGAGATAGTCATCTACCTGGGACTTGAAATCTATCGTGGGCATCGGCGACTCAGTACAGACCGAAAAGAGGCCATTTGCTGTCTCCCAGAGCCCCACACTGTACGAGAGATGCAGGCTTTCCTGGGAATGGTAGGATGGTGTCGGCTGTGGATAGCTAACTATGGGTTGCTAGTCAAACCTCTGTATGAAGCCCTGAAAACGGCCAAAGAGGGAATTGTAACATGGACAGATGAGACCAGAAATGTGTTTCAACAACTGAAACAGTCCTTGATGTCAGCTCCAGCACTAGGATTACCAGATTTGACTAAACCTTTTGAACTGTTCACACACGAGCAGTTGAATGTTGCTCTGGGGGTATTATCGCAAACTCTGGGAAGCCAACGAAGAGCTGTGGCTTATTTCTCTAAACAGCTAGACAGTGTCAGCCAAGGGTGGCCGGGGTGCCTGCGAGCTGTTGCAGCAACTGTTATCCTGATTGAAGAAACCCGGAAGCTCACCCTTGGGCAGCATATCACTGTATATGTACCCCATGCAGTTCAAGCTGTGCTTGAACAAAAGGGAGGCCACTGGCTGTCCCCCAGCAGAATGCTTAAGTACCAGGTTGTGTTGCTGGAACAAGACGATGTTACTTTGAAAACAACATCCATTGTAAATCCAGCTATGTTTCTGTCTTCAACACTAACCGACAGTGTCCCCGAGCATGACTGTTTACAGACTATAGAGGAGACTTACTCCAGCAGACCAGACCTGAAAGATGTGCCCCTGAAAAATGCAGACTGGGAACTGTATACAGACGGAAGCAGCTTCATGCGAGATGGTAAGCGCTTCACAGGGTATGCAGTGACGACCAGAGACGAAGTGATCGAGGCAAAAGCCTTGCCAGCAGATGTGTCATCCCAAAAAGCAGAATTAATCGCATTGACAAGAGCCTTAGAACTGAGTGAAGGAAAGAAGGTAAATATCTGGACTGACTCAAAATATGCATTTAGTGTTGTACACGCCCACGGAGCGATCTGGAAAGAAAGAGGACTACTGACAGCCCAAGGCAGTGGAGTTAAGCATGCAGACCAAATCCATGCACTCCTGCAGAGTATTTGGAAACCAGAGGAGGTAGCTATTATGCATTGCAGGGCCCACCAAAAGGGGAAAACAATTCCCGAGTTGGGAAATCAATTTGCTGATCAAGCAGCAAAAGGGGCTGCAGAAAAAGGCATCTTGGCAATAGTGCCACAAAAGGAAATTGATCTGACCAAATACACCCCTAAGTATGATGAGAAAGACAATCAGCTAATTAGATCACTGAAAGCTGAAATCAAAGAAGGGGGGTGGGCTGTTACCCCTACTGGACAGGTTGTAGTCCCACCACCGCTCCTTAGGGAAATAGCTCAACAAGAACATGAGGCTACCCATTGGGGAACGGAAAACCTCCTGAAACATCTAAAGAAAACAGTAATAGGAACAAATATGACTGAAGCTGTGCAGTCCATAGTAGGTAAGTGTGAAATCTGCAAACGAAACAACCCAGATACATCAAAGAGAGTGGTACTAGGGGTAACAAAAGTTGGAGACCAACCCGGAGATTACTGGCAAATAGATTTTGCTGAGTTACCACCATGGGGGGGGTACAAATACATCCTTGTATTAGTTGACACTTTCAGTGGATGGCCTGAAGCATACCCCTGTCGCACTAACACAGTAAGGGAAGTGGTAAAAGCTTTACTTAACCACGTAATTCCAAGGTTTGGGGTTCCTCTAGGAATGGCATCAGATAGAGGAACACATTTCATTGCGACAGTAGTAAAAGAAGTATGCCGCATCCTGGGAATTGTCTGGGACCTACATACCCCCTATAGACCTCAGGCTAGTGGCAAAGTTGAACGAATGAATGGCACTTTGAAAATGCAAATAAGTAAAATTTGTCAAGAAACATCTATGTCCTGGGTTCAAGCTTTGCCACTAGCTCTGCTGAGGATTCGTATCCAGCCGAAGCGGAGAGATAACATAAGCCCATATGAAATACTATATGGAAGACCATATCAGGCACCACACATACCAGGGGATGTACACTTAAGAGGGAGAGCCGATTTACAAAAATATTTGATTGCTTTAGGCTCTACTTTGCAGAAGCTGCAGAAGGTCATCGAGTTATCCAGACCCATAGGACTGGACACTCCTGCTCACCCATTCCAACCAGGAGACTGGGTCTACGTCAAGTGGTGGAACAGTGACCCCTTGCGAGCCAAGTGGAGAGGACCATACCAAGTCCTGCTGACTTCCCTCACCGCCGTCAAGGTTGCTGGCAGAGAACCCTGGTTCCACTACTCCAGAGTCAAGAGAGCATCAGCTCCTGGAACAACCAACCAATCAGAACCGGACACTGATGACGAAGATGTGGAATAGACTGCTTGTTCTGTGTATTCTGTTCGTGCAACCGGTAACTATGAACCGAGTTTGGGACCAAAAACTGCATGTGGCCCTAGTCCAAAACGTATCTAAAATTCTCCGGAAAACTGAATGCTGGATTTGTACTCAAGTACCAGCAATTGATGATGAGAATAGTGAATGGCCCTCAATTTTTTACTAGCCTCACAAGGAGGTGTGTGTAAAGTCATCAATACCAGCTGCTGCTCTTACATAGATCAGACTGGTAGAATTAATAATGATTTGGCTGCAATCCGAAATCAAACCAACATCTTACATCAAATATCTCTAGATGATGTCTCCCTAGGTTTAGGAGATGTCCTCCACAAACTCACTTCATGGTTACCGAACTGGACATGGATGAAACAACTGTTTATTTTAGTATTGTACATACTTAGCGTTAGTGTAATAGCTCACTGCATGCACCGATGTTATAGTTGTTGTAGGTGTAGGTAGTAGAGATTGGACAAGACCTTTGGGTTTTGTCCAGTCTCTAAGGGGGGACTGATGCCTTAAGCCCCTAATGTTTTTTTATTTCTTTTAATATTTGTAAGACTTGTAAGTTTTATAAGCAGTGAAAGTAGAAACCCTCTCTTCTTTGCCCTTGTTCCTTTCCCTTTTCCCTGTAGCACCCTTGTTTACACATTCCTTAACCCTCTTACCCCATTCTATGCTCCCCATATCAACCCTACTCCTGAATCCAATAGAAATGTTTAGTCTTTTGTCAAGGTTAGGCCTAGACAGTTGACAGAACAGCATATCTGGGCCTAAACCACAGAATGAAGTCAAGAATTAGATAACTATGTACCCTTTGTGCTCTGATGATGATGAAGATGGGATGAATGGAGGGTCCCGAAATGCACCCCAGACTCATTTTCAGGGGGTGGACCCCGGGGCGGTCCAGAGGAAAGGCCACAGGGTGGATACATCTGGGATTGGATGGATGATGTTATAAAATGTAACCTCTCGGGCACAGGGACACGCGCGCGTCTGGTAACATCTTAGCCTTGGCAAATAAAACCCTTTCTTATCTCACCCCTAATTAACTGCTCCGGAGATTTTTTCAGCACCTAAATCCCACGGCAACAGTTGGTGGCCCGTACGGGGTGACCTGGACCGGGACTTCTTCAGACTGGAAACTTTCATCGTGCAGGAATATTCCTCAGCAAGCCGGCTTTTATCTGAGATAATTCCCGCCCCGGTCTGAGAAGCCCAGCTCCACAGAACCCACGGAAGCAAGCACGGAGCATAGAGGTGAGATAAGAAAAGAGCTAATAAGGAAACGGTATCTATTTGTTCAGTTAGCAGCTGCGGGAAAGTTTTGTGTTTTGTGTTCCAGGATAGGGAACACGGGTTCCTGGAAAGTTAACTTAAGACTTGGGCCCAGATAGTCGCGAAAAGTCGCTTTCCAGGAGGCGAACGGGTGGTTCGCCATCCCAGGTCAGAGCGGGTCAGCCTAGGGCTGTTTGGTTTGGAGGGGACGCCCTCCGGTGCTCTGACGCTGTGGAAGAGCCGGTGGGGCTCTGGAGTCGGAGCGACTCAGTAAATAGCTGATAGGTTACGAAACAGCTTTGTAACCTAAAGGTAGCAAGTTTGAATCCCAGTGTGTGACTGCGGTTTATTTTCGTTTTGCAAACATGGGTTGTGTTGATTCAAAAGTTGAGATCCCTAAAGAATCCCCCCTAAGTCTGGTGTTGAAGCATTGGAGAACTTTGGCTGGTCCTGAGACAATTTTAAAGAAGGAAGAATTGTGTAGGCTGTGTATGGATGCCTGGCCGTTGTTTGGACGAATGAGAGGGGTGGCGTGGCCGGAATTTGGTCCGTTAGAACTAGGTACAGTGTTTCGGTTGATCTCGCTTCTTCATGTGGAACAGAGGTGGCAGGAAATTCAATATGCAGAGCTGTTCTTGTCCCTGTTAATACGCCCTCAATTAGGTGTAGGAGATAAGAAAAACGAAAGTTCAAGAGAGAAAGAAAAAGCAGAGATGGCTTTAGGAAGAGGGAAAAGGAAAAATCGAGTTGAGGCTGCTCCTGTCCCACAAATCCTATTTAAGAACACCGGAGAAGATGATTTAGACATGTTGATATCACCTGACAGGAGAGAAAGCAGCCCGGGAGCTCCACAAATTGGACTCCCCGCAGCAGCGGCAGCGGGGGGGGCTGGGGCTGCCGGGGTGGCGGCTCCTGGACCGGCTCCGGCTGGGCAGGCAGGAGCCGTGGGGGGGCTCCCTGGCGCGGGTATGGCTGCGCTGGGGGGTGGAGCTGGACAAGTTGGAATCTCCGGAGGAGTTGGCTCGGGGGCGGCGGGAACCGCTCCGGGCACGGTTAGTACGGGACTTGCTGCCATGGCAACGAGTACAGGAGCAGGCACTGCGGGAGTAACAGGCTTGGGGCCAGCCCCGGCTGCAGCGGCGGCGTGGGGAGGGGCCCCAGGAGCGGTAGCAGGAACCACCCCTGGAATTCCAGGAGGGGCAGGGGCGGTGCCAACAGGCGGGGCCTCTGTCCTGACTGACTTGGGGGGTGGAGCTGGAGCCGCCCCCTTTCCCACGCTTTCCCCTCCCGAGGGGGGCCATTCCACCTTTCCGGAAGGGGGGAGAAAAGAGGAACCGAGAGAGTTTCCAATTTCTGCCCCTCATGAAGAGGGAACAGAGACACATAGACAGGGCAAGCCGGTTTCAGCTGCTGAGAGAAGGGAGAAGCGAGGTTTACCACCGTTTGATAAGGACACGGAAGCAGAGGGTGAATTAAGTAATAGTCCGGGGGAAGGAGAAGCAGACCCGCCTGTTGTAAGACCAAAGGGAAAGAGGGTCCGCGAAGCGTTAGCAGTCCCCGACCCGGTTGCAAGTAGAACAAGAGCAAAAGACAAGCCACCGTTAGAAGCCCCCTTAAGACAAGCCGTGACCAATCAAGGCACGGTATTAATAAAGGTTCCTTTCTCACTGGTTGAGTTACAGCAATGGAAAGATTGTGTGGGGGCATATAGAGATAATCCAGAAAAAATGACAAATTATGTCCAAAGAGCAATCAAAACTCAGAATCCTGATTGGTGTGATCTAGAGGTTATGATGGATACCCTATTAGACCAATCAGAGAAGGAGATGGTGAAAAGAGCTGCTCTAAAGGCAATAGAGATGCTAAAAACCTCTGGGCAGTTTCCAGGCGAGGATATCAAAGATATCTTCCCCCTCACGGATCCTGGATGGGATCCGAACGTGTCAGCAAACTTAGAAGCTTTGAAACGTTATCGAGACTGGGTAATTTATGGATTTCGGCATGGAGTTCCAAAAGCGGTGAACTGGTCCAAAATGTATGACGTTAGACAAGACATAAATGAGTCACCCACAGATTTTCTGAACAGATTAAAGGATGTTATCAGGAAATATACTGACATAGACATTGAATCAGATATGGGAAAGAAAAATCTGGTATACTTATTTGTAGGGCAGTCCACAGATGATATAAGAAGAAAACTGCAAAAAGCAGGTGGTGATAAAAAGGATATTAGTGAGCTGTTAGATATAGCCTGGACGGTATATCAAAATAGGGAGCAGAAAAGGAAAACAAGGGCGATGGAACAAGAAGGTGGCTATAGAGAGCCTCATGGACGTAACCACAGGTATAACAGGTCTAACCATCGACAGGGCATAGCAGATGACAGATGTTCTAACTGTAAGAAGAAGGGACATTGGAGAAAAGACTGCCCGGAGCTGAGGGGAACTGAAAACCCACTTCCCCCACCACCACCAGCCCCCCAACTGACTGTGGGTCAGAATGTATGAGGGGGACCGGAGGCTTCTTCCCCAGCAGAGCCTCTGGTTACAACTAAGCTGGGAGGGGAAAATGTTGAATTTTTGGTTGATACAGGTGCGGCATACTCTGTTTTAAATACTTTAGAAGGGAAATTGAGCCATGAAACTGTAACTGTGGTAGGTGCTACAGGGGTAAGTGAAACAAGGCCATTTTTTAAACCTTTAAAATTCAAATTGGGCAAGCACTGGGTAACTCACCAATTTCTTTACATGCCAAATTCTCCTAAGCCTTTACTGGGTAGAGACTTATTGGAAAAATTAGAAGCCGAAATTAAATTCACCAAGGGGGGAGACATAAAAGTTATAATCCCAGATACTAAATATATCGAGGCAACTGCTTTCTTTATACAGGAAAATCATGGAGAAATCCCCGCAGAAGTTGAAAATGCTGTCATACCCTTAGTCTGGGCCAGCGAGTACCCTGGGAAGTCAAAGCAAACTGAACCAGTAAGCATCGCACTCAGACCAGGAGCAATCCCGGTAAGGCAAAAACAATATCCTTTGAAATTAGAAAGCCGAAAAGGCCTAACACCTATAATTGAAAAGTTCCTTAAATTTGGTTTACTAGTAGAATGTGAATCCAGATTTAATACCCCCATCCTACCAGTGAAAAAGGCCGATGGCAAAAGCTATCGGCTAGTCCAGGATCTTAGGGCCATCAATAAAATAACTGAGGACATTTACCCAGTGGTAGCCAACCCCTATACACTGTTAACCACATTGACAGAGGATTTAGGATGGTTCACTGTACTCGATCTTAAAGATGCCTTTTTCTGCATTCCTGTACACAAAGACAGCCAGGAGATTTTCGCCTTTGAGTGGGAAAATCCTGAGACAGGGAGAAAAACGCAACTAACCTGGAGAGTTCTTCCACAAGGCTTTAAGAACAGTCCAACACTTTTCGGAAATCAGTTGGCAAAGGAACTGGAGGACTGGAGAAGACAGCAGCAAGAAGGAGTTGTCCTGCAGTATGTTGACGACATCTTAATTGCAGCCAAAAGCCGGGACCAATGCATCGAGCTTACTGTAAGTCTCTTGAACTTTTTGGGGCTAAGTGGGTATCGGGTCTCGAGAGAGAAGGCACAGATAGCCAAGGAGATAGTCATCTACCTGGGACTTGAAATCTATCGTGGGCATCGGCGACTCAGTACAGACCGAAAAGAGGCCATTTGCTGTCTCCCAGAGCCCCACACTGTACGAGAGATGCAGGCTTTCCTGGG